TTGGTTGAATCTGCAGTGGAACCTGTGAGGGCAAGGGCCAGCATTAATTATAAGAACAATACAATTGTCTTGATTTACTCTAACTCCTGGATTGGAATTGGTCTTATCATGTCATGGTCCTGACATGATATGCCTGCTATTGATTCAAATGTCACATTGGCACATCCTAGCTTGTGGGGTTCTCTTTTAATGCTGAAGGGGTGATAGCAGGCTATTCTTGATTTAGATCCCTAGGATATGACAAGACCCTAAAAATTGTGATAAATTTCAAAATGATATGAAAGAAATCTATGATAGTTAATATATTACCAATACCTTATTGTGGCTTTAAATTTAAATCTGTTGACTAAATAAAGAGTATACCAAATCGATAAAGAAGACAAAAACATGTCTTCAAATTTGGCATTCTTTCTGAAAAACAAGAATTGTAAAAGCTTAGAAATAGCTAATACATTTTCTCTTTTTAAATAGACATTAGATATAAATTTTTAAAATTAAAGTGAGAAGTGCAATTCAAATACCATATTAATTTGCACGTTTTCCTCACTTCCCCAATATTTCACTTATACAGTGGTGATATAGAGAGAATTATGTGTTTCTATAGTTTAATATTCTTCTTCCTCAGCAGATTTTAATATGTACTTCTAAAGAACAGACATCATCACTTTCAAATATTTGAACAGAAAATTCCATTGGAGAAACACTTGATTGTTTTGGACATTTTTATTCATGTATTATTACAGATCTTTAACTTATCTTTCTGAGTTAGAAGTGTTAATATCCAGTGTTTCACAAGTTTCTGTCATTTTAGCAAATAACTAATAGAAGAAAGAACTCCCTATGTATGCTCTGAAAATGTGCAAGTTTCAATTCTTGAAAACTGTCTGCTGGTAAAGTACTATTAACAATTCAATAACAAAAAGACAACCTAATTAATAAATGGACAAAAGGTTTGAATTGACATTTCTCCAAACAAGATAAATATCTAACAAACACATGAAAACGTGATCAATGTCATTAGTCATTAGGGAAATGTAAATCATTATAATCAGTATAATCATTAAAGAAAAAGAAAAATGTTTTTGAAGATGCAGAGAATTTCAAACTCTCATACATTGTTGGTGGGATTGTAAATGGTATAGCCACTGTGGCAAACAGATTGTTTCTCATTAAGTTAAATATAGAATTACCAAATGACTCAACAATTTCACTGTTAGGTATAGACACAAAGTAACTCAAAACAGGTATTCTAATAATAACCTGTATATGAAGTTTCATGGTAGCTCTTCACAGAGGAGCCTGGTGGGTTACAGTCCATGGACTCACAAGGAGTCGGACATTACTGGATAACTAAGCACAGACACACACAAGTGATTCACTTTGCTGTATCCTGAAACTAACACAACATTGTAAATCAACTATACTATAGTAGAAAATTTAAAAACTGTCTAGTCATTGATTCAAATATTATCCTTATTTTGAGTCGACTATATATACTTATCCATTGTTTATAATGGAAGAGATTTCACTGCTTTTCAAAATAATTTTTCTGTATTCAGACGAAATAATGCCCTTCTAAGTGAGTGTCAAATAGCCATGAAAATGTGCATTGACATTGATTTCATGCCAAACATGTGAATCATGTGATTGGGATTCCCATAGACTTAAACTCAGTGAAGTCTCATGTGTTATCATACTAATGCTGTATTTCAAGTGCCAGGTATGGAGTGAAGGTAGGGATCCAAGGCACAGGTTTTAGAGTTAAGTGGATTCATATTCTAGCTTTTCTAATACCAAATGTGGGACTTCAGGCAAGGTAGCATAATTTCTCAAATTTCAATTTCCTTACTAGTAAAATGAGGATAATACCTATTTTACTCTGATGTTGCAAGAACTGAATGAGCATATATAAATGAAAAGTAGTTATTACTGGACTCAGCATATAGTAAATGTTCAGTATGCTAACTACTATTTTAAAAAGAACTTTTGTATTCCCCTCTTTTAAAAGAAAGATTTATTTATATTTGGCTGTGCTGGGTCTTCACTGCTACAAACACTTTTCTCGAGTTGTTGCAAGCAGGGGCTACTCTCCAGTTGCCTTGCTCGGGCTTCTCATAGCAGTGGCTTCTCTTGCTGCAAAGATCAGGCCCTAGGCACCCAGGCTTCAGGAGTTGTGGCTCCTGGGCTTAGTTGCCTTACAGCAGGAGGGATCTTATTGGACCGGGATCTTATTGGACCAACCCGTCCTCTGCATTGGCAGGCAGATTCTTAATCACTAGACCATCAGGGAAGTCCCAGTAACTGGTTTTAAGACAGGATTATATATACTTTTTCTAATGCAATCCTTTTATAAATTTTGTTAAGTACTCACCTTCAGTGGGAAGGAAGTCCAATCATCCTGCCTCAGCAGAATTCTGATTGGGAGGGTGTCTTTTGAGGTGCTGACTAGATTCTGGCATGGAGTGGTAATTCTGATTAAAGGAAGAAGTCATCAGTTAAAGCAGTCACCTCCCTATTTCCACAGTTCTCCCCACCCCACCGCGGCTCTTCAGGTGCTCTGGAATCTTTGCAGCAGAGGGCAGCGATCTAACCTTCCGTAGAACCTGATTCAATGCACATTTCCTTATGAACTCATCACAAGTAGGACGCGTTTCAATGACAGAAAAAAAAAACAGGTATTCTAATAATAACCTGTATATGAAGTTTCATGGTAGCTCTTCACAGAGGAGCCTGGTGGGTTACAGTCCATGGACTCACAAGGAGTCGGACATTACTGGATAACTAAGCACAGACACACACAAGTGATTCACTTTGCTGTATCCTGAAACTAACACAACATTGTAAATCAACTATACTATAGTAGAAAATTTAAAAACTGTCTAGTCATTGATTCAAATATTATCCTTATTTTGAGTCGACTATATATACTTATCCATTGTTTATAATGGAAGAGATTTCACTGCTTTTCAAAATAATTTTTCTGTATTCAGACGAAATAATGCCCTTCTAAGTGAGTGTCAAATAGCCATGAAAATGTGCATTGACATTGATTTCATGCCAAACATGTGAATCATGTGATTGGGATTCCCATAGACTTAAACTCAGTGAAGTCTCATGTGTTATCATACTAATGCTGTATTTCAAGTGCCAGGTATGGAGTGAAGGTAGGGATCCAAGGCACAGGTTTTAGAGTTAAGTGGATTCATATTCTAGCTTTTCTAATACCAAATGTGGGACTTCAGGCAAGGTAGCATAATTTCTCAAATTTCAATTTCCTTACTAGTAAAATGAGGATAATACCTATTTTACTCTGATGTTGCAAGAACTGAATGAGCATATATAAATGAAAAGTAGTTATTACTGGACTCAGCATATAGTAAATGTTCAGTATGGTAACTACTATTTTAAAAAGAACTTTTGTATTCCCCTCTTTTAAAAGAAAGATTTATTTATATTTGGCTGTGCTGGGTCTTCACTGCTACAAACACTTTTCTCGAGTTGTTGCAAGCAGGGGCTACTCTCCAGTTGCCTTGCTCGGGCTTCTCATAGCAGTGGCTTCTCTTGCTGCAAAGATCAGGCCCTAGGCACCCAGGCTTCAGGAGTTGTGGCTCCTGGGCTTAGTTGCCTTACAGCAGGAGGGATCTTATTGGACCGGGATCTTATTGGACCAACCCGTCCTCTGCATTGGCAGGCAGATTCTTAATCACTAGACCATCAGGGAAGTCCCAGTAACTGGTTTTAAGACAGGATTATATATACTTTTTCTAATGCAATCCTTTTATAAATTTTGTTAAGTACTCACCTTCAGTGGGAAGGAAGTCCAATCATCCTGCCTCAGCAGAATTCTGATTGGGAGGGTGTCTTTTGAGGTGCTGACTAGATTCTGGCATGGAGTGGTAATTCTGATTAAAGGAAGAAGTCATCAGTTAAAGCAGTCACCTCCCTATTTCCACAGTTCTCCCCACCCCACCGCGGCTCTTCAGGTGCTCTGGAATCTTTGCAGCAGAGGGCAGCGATCTAACCTTCCGTAGAACCTGATTCAATGCACATTTCCTTATGAACTCATCACAAGTAGGACGCGTTTCAATGACAGAAAAAAAGGAGGTTATTTCTTATTCAAAGTTGATAAAGAAAGAAAGCAGGAAGGAAGGAAGGGGAAAAAAAGAAGAAAAAAAGAGAATGAACAATAAAGAAAGCTGGCCATTTTTTCTTTAACCACGCTCCAAGTTACTAATTTCAAACTGGTCCGAGGATTCAAACTCTGGAGAATGCGGGTCACACTCACTCTGATATGCAGCCAACTGCATAAAGAAGTTGACATAAAAAAAGAAAATCATGACTCTTGCAAAACAGAAGACAAAGGTGCACAAGGGATCATAATTCCAATGGGAAACCTGTCCGATAGTCCCAGCTCAACACAAGGCTTTCCACATCTCCTAGAATCAGTCAGCTGGTTGTCAGCTGTACGTAAAGCAGTTTTGCTAAAGGGTGTGAAGAAAACATTTAAGTGTAAAACTTATTCCTTGATCCTCAAGGAGCTTACAACAGCGCTGGAGGGATTAGCCCTGTAACTAACACTCCAGGGCGGTCAATGAAACGTGACAAACGAGTTGGCAAGGGTCTTGAAGGCGGAGGAATTCACGGTTAGGGATCATTTGGGGCTAGGGGCTTGTCAAGAAAGGCTTTAAGAAGTGGGGTGTAAGCTAGGCGCAAAGCTAGCGGCGGGTAGGGTTTTAGATTGACGGGAAGTCGTGGCGTGGTGGGTTGAATATTGACCAGGGCACTCAAGGGTGCGGTGCAGGGCGGACCGGACTGACTCCTCCGGCCCAGGACGCGTGCGCCGCCAACGCTTGCGCCGGGCGCGCGGCCCGTGGGAAGCCAGCCAGGACCCGCGAGCGCGAGACCCCGCGCGCCAAGGCGGGAAAGAGCTGGCGCATGCGCGGCTCGGGGCTTCGGGCTCGCCAGGATGGGGAAGGGGAGGTGGAGTTTCCTAGAGGGAACTTGACCGGTTAGCAGCCGCGGCAATGGCGGCGCGGTCGCCGCCCTCACAGCTCCCTCCGCCCCCGGCGCGACAGTTGGGGCCCTGGTCCCCACGTGTTGGGCGGGGAGCTGTGGCACACGCCGTGCGCAGCGAAACCTCGGGTCTTGAGGGCGCAGCGCGGAGGGGCGTCGTGGACAAAAGCGATTTACCCTGGCGGGGCGAAGAGGGGTCAGAGGGCCAGCGAGGGCCAGCGGGGACAGCTCCGGCTCAGGCTCCCCTCCTCAGCGCGCCCACGGGGTCCATGCGGCTAGAGGGCATCTCGGTAGAGGAGGCGATGGTGACCCGGACGCAGCTGCTGGAGGAAGAGCTGAGCAGCGTAAAGGAGGAGCTGGCCCTGTGTCAGGTATCGAAGTGGCCGCCGGCCTTTCCCCTCCACAGCGGGGCTGGGCCCGCGTCCCTCTCCCTCTGCCTTCGTCTGTGTCGCTGCGCGGGCTTAGGACCCACCCACCTCTGCCCGGCGGCGCTCCGTCCCGGCTCCCACACCCAGCCGGGCCCGCTGCTCGCTGCTGAGGGAGGCGGCCGCGCCCAGCTAGGCGACCTCCGGCGCCCGCCCTTCTCCGGACCTCGGCCGGGTAGGACAGCCTCGGCTGTCCCTGATTTGGTTGGTTTGGTTGACTTCGCTTGGATCCCACCAAAACGGGCGGACGCACCCCACCGCCCCTAAACTCAAGTTTTCTGTTGTGACTGTAGTGGTACTTGATGCAGTAGGAGTGTAATCCCAGAGTTGAAATGTGGAACAAGAGAGTGGAAGCACTTTTATTAAAATAAAACCCATCGATGAAAGAGCCTGTTTTTAATCATCAGATCCACACTTGCCCTTGTTCTTAAGTAAAACTGAAGTTTTTAAAACAGACCAATAATTTTTAGGGAGTCTCAGTCTGGGAATTTTCACACATAGTAGAGGATGCTAGATATTTATTGACCAACTATGTTAATTCCATATTTCTCTAGTGAGAAATGTTAATTTCATGTCATGTTGCCTGTGAAAAGCATTTACTAAATCAATTACCTTAACATCAGTTTCCAATTATTTGTACAGTTTGTGAATACCAAAGGTGGCTTGAGTACTCAGGTTCAGAAAGTTTTGTATCCTTACCACCATCTCTTTTATGATTTTACTAGAACCTTTGACAGGATTGGGTGACTAAATGTTGGGAATTTGCTCAACAGTAGATCTTTGAGTCACTCTGTCTTCAAGATAGAACCTATTAAGAACTGCTAAACAGCAAGGTAACTATAAAATATCATAAGTTTAGATTAATAAAAATTCACAGATTTCATTCTCACAGTTAGTTCTATTTGATTCTGTTGCCCCTTTTGTAGGATTTTCCTGACTGGGTCAAGAGTGTAAAAGCAGAACAGTCTTGTTCAAACAGAAATGTTGTTTAATCACTAAGTTGTATCCAACTCTTTTGCGACCTTTGGGACTGTAGCCCATGGGCTCCTCTGTCCATGGAATTCTCCAGGCAAGAATACTAGAGTGGGTTGACATTTCCTTATCCAGGGGATCTTCCCAACCCAGGGATCGAACCCATGTCTCTTGTGTCTCCTGCATTGCAGACAGGTTCTTTGCCACTGGTCCACCTGGGAAGCGCTAAAATTGAATATGTCTTTGTTTAATAAAATAAGGGAGTGTGACTTCTTCCTTTTTAATGTCCCATTTTCAATGTTCTGTTTCTATTCTTTAGTGGTTAAGGAGCATAGGGATAAATAAAAGGCTGACTTGTTTAGTTGCTAAATCACATCTAACTTTTTGCGACTTCATGGACTGTACCTCACCAGACTCCTCTGTCCATGTGTTTTACCAGGCAAGAATATGGAAATGAATTGTGATTTCCTTCTCCGGGGTATCTTCCTGACCCAGGGTTCTAACCCATATCTCTTGTTTGGCAGGCGAATTCTTTACCATCGGGCCACCAGGCAAACCTACCCTTCATCTTGTTAAGTGACTAAGTTGTGTCTGACTCTTTGCGACCCTGTGGACTGTAGCAAGCCAGGCTCCCATGTCCTTTACTATCTCCTGGGTTTTGCTCAGGTTCACAGCCATTGAGTCAACGATGCTATCTAACCATCTTATCCTCTGCCGACCCCCTTCTCTTTCGCTTTGAGTCTTTCCCAGCATCAGGGTCTTTTCCAGTGAATTAGCTCTTCACACTAGGTGGCCAAAGTATTGGAGCTTCAGCTGCAGCATCAGTCCTTCCAATGAATGAATATTCAGAGTTGATTTCCTTTAGGATCGATAGATTTGATCTCCTTGATGTCCAAGGAACTCTCAAGAGTCTTCTCCAGCACCACAGTTTGAAAGGATCAATTCTTTGGTCCTCAGCCTTCTTTATGGTCCAACTCTCACATCTGTACATGATGATTGGAAAGATCATAGTGTTGACTGTATGTACCTTTGTCGGCAAAGTAATGTCTCTGCTTTTTAATATTCTGTCTAGGTTTGTCATAGGTTTCCTTCTAAGGAGCAAACATCTTTTAATTTCATGGTTGCAGTCACTATCTGCAGTGATTTTATAGCCCAAGAAAAGAAAATCTGTCGCTGCTTCCAGTTTTTCCCCCTCTATTTGCAATAAAGTGATGGAACCAGATACCGTAATCTCAGTTTTTTGAATGTTGAGTTTTAAGCCAGCTTTTCCATATCCTCTTTCACCTTCATCAAGAAGCTCTTAACTTTAAAGATGTGAATCCATGATGAAGGCCTCTGTTACTTTGACAAGCCTTAATTTGAGATAGCTTTGCCTATATCTTCTATACCTTTTCTCCCCCTCCCCTTACTCCATATTTTCCATAGTTGTGTCCTTAACTGGGTAAGGAACTAATATATTTACTTTTGTGACTGCTTTGATTGAGAAATCAGTCTGTCGGAATAGCCCAATGACCCTCTCTCCCAGTCCATTCACTATTATATTCTTTAAAAATGTGACTAGGCAGATGTAAGAATTGAGATGGCCATAGTTGGCCTGAAACAATGGTTCTTGAGGTTTTTAGTATTGACACTTTTAGATGATCATAGGCGTTTCAGTAATGTGAGATGAGGTTGGCAGTAGCCCATACCGTAAAGTTTCAGTCAAGTCATACTCCTGCTCTTTGAGAAACTTGGAAGACATAATAATTGAATTGTTTTATAAAAGGCATTTAAGTAATTAAAGATTCACTTTCATAATTTTCAAATTAGTCCTTCCACTTACTTACTCAAGTAGAAATCACAGTATCCAAGAAGACATAGTATTAACCCTTTGTTTTCCACAACTATCAACAATTGTACCCAAAATAAATTCATTTTATGTGTCACCATAATAGGAATATACACATTCACATACTATCATAAAGAATGTTTTACCCTGTGTGTCATGAACTCTGATATTTTCTTTTGAAATCTATTATTTAAGAAAGTGCTGTTAAATTAATATACTAAATTCATTTCAAGACCTAGTAATGGGTCAAATAGGCAGTTTGGGAAAAAAACCTCTGTTAATTAATTAGTCTCTGGTCATAAGTTGCAGCGTCCTTTAAGTTGTTTTTTTTCCGCACATTTAACTTCAGTTCAGTTCAGTCGCTCAATCGTGCCTGACTCTTTGCGACCCCATGAACCGCAGGACGCCAGGCCTCCCTGTCTATCACCAACTCCCGAAGTTTACCCAAACTCATTTCCATTGAGTTGGTGATGCAATCTAACCATCTCATCCTCTGTCATCCCCTTCTCCTGCCTTCAATCTTTCCCAACATCGGGGTCTTTTCAAATGAGTCAGCTCTTCCCATCAGGTAGCCAAAATCAGGACTGATCTCCTTTAGGATGGACTGGTTGGATCTCCTTGCAGCCCACGGGACTCTCAAAGAGTCTTCTCCAACACCACAGTTCAAAAGCATCAATTCTTCGGCACTCAGCTTTCTTCACAGTCCAACTCTCACATCCATACATCATCACTGGAAAAACCATAACCTTGACTAGACGGACCTTTGTTGGCAAAGTAATGTCTCTGCTTTTTAATATGCTATCTAGGTTGGTCATAACTTTCCTTCAAAGGAGGAAGCATCTTTTACTTTCATGACTGCAGTCACCATCTGCAGTGGTTTTGGAGCCCAGAAAAATAAAGTCTGCCACTGTTTCCACTGTTTCCCCATCTATTTGCCATGAAGTGATGGGACTGAATGCCATGATCTTAGTTTTTTGAATGTTGAGTTTTAAGCCAGCTTTTTCACTCTTCTCTTTCACCCTCATCAAGAGGCTTTTCGGTTCCTTTTTGCTTTTTTCCATTAGGGTATCATTTGCATATCTGAGGTTGTTGATATTTCTGCCGGCAGTCTTGATTCCAGCTTGTGATTCATCCAGTCTGGTATTTCACATGTTGTACTCTGCATAGAAGTTAAATAAACACAGTGATAGTATATAGCCTTGTCATACTCTTTCTCAATTTTGAACCACTCAGTTTTTCCGTGTCTGATTTTAAAAGTTGCTTCTTGACCTGCATACAGATTTCTCAGGAGGTGGTCAGGTGGTCTGGTATTCCTGTCTCTTTAAGAATGTTTCAAAGTTTGTTGTGATCCACACAGTCAAAGGCTTTAGCATAGTCAATTAAGTAGATGTTTTTCTGGAATTCCCTTGCTTTCTGTACCATCCAGTGAAGGTTGGCAATTTGATCTCTGGTTCCTATACCTTTTCGAAACCTAGCTGGTATATCTGAAACTTGTCTGTTCACACATACTGCTGAACCTAGCTTGGAGGATTTTGGGCATAACCTTACTAGCATGTGGAATGAACACAATTGTATGGTATTTGAACATTCTTTGGCATTGCTTTCTTTTGAACTGGAATGAAAACACTGTTTCCAGTCCTGTGGCCACTGTTGTAGTTTCCCAAATTTGCTGCTCTTAAGTGCAGCACTTTTAACAGCATCATCTTTTAGGGTTTTAAATACCTAAATTGGATTTCCTACATTCCTGTGTCTACATTGGAAGACCTAAGTCAATTTAAAATTTTCAATGACACTTATATTTCATTGGCAGAATTCAGTCACAGAGCCCATAGGTAAGAGAGGCCAGTCTTTTAGTTAACAGCAAAGAGCTAAAATGATTTCTGTCACTAAGAGGAAGGGGAAAATGGATGATGGAGACAGAAATGTATGCCATATAAGTAATCCCAAACAAATAAACCACCAGCAAATATAGTATTATAAAATGAAATGTGATTTGAAAAGCGTTAAACAGGCTAAGCAGTTAGGAGAGACTTGTGGGTTTTGGTGTCTGTAGGGAAGACTTTCTTGAAGAGGTAACATTTAAACAATGTCTTGAGTGAAGTGAAGTAATAATGTTCATGAAAATCTGATAGATATTGTATGTACGAAGGGCCTGGTATAAGCAGAGCAAGAAGGTTCTTGTGAACAAGAGTGGTAGGTGAGGTTGGAGAGGTGTAAAAAACGCCAGATGGTATGGGATCATGTGGCTTTGATAGAATCTGAATTGTTTTCCTAATGTAACAAATCTATTAGAAGATTTTGAGCTGTCAGGAGCCCATGGGGCTATTGTAGAGAACTAGGCAAGAGGTGGAGTTAACTTACACTAGGATGATGGTGGTGAAAGTATTTAGAATTGGGATATATTTTGCAGGTAAGTCTAATAGGATTTACTAATGGTTTGGATATGAAATGTGAAGAAAGAGAGCAACCAAGATTGACTCCAGATCTTAAGTCTTTGAACATTGAGTAAGTGGTGGGGTTATTTTCTGAGAGGCAGAGAGGGCAGGTTTGTGAGAGAATAGGAAGTCAAGAACTTATTTTGGACAGATTAAATTTGAGGTGCCTATTAACATTTGGCAATATCGAGGACCTTGAAAAGTGATTTCAGCATTATGGTAGGGAGGGAAATCTGACTGGGGAGGTTACAGAGTGAATGGGGATGAGGAAGAAGAGACAGTGATTGTAGGCAACACTTTTAAGGAATTTTGCTGAAAAGGGCAGCTGAAAGGTAGATGAGTAGCTAGAGGACAGTCTCATTTTAGAACAAATTTACCTTGATATTCAGCATTTCAATGTTTGCACCTTTAAATGTGGGTTACAGGTGTAAGGAATTTTTAAAATTAAGCTTTCCTATTCTACTTTTCAAGAATATGTTTTATAGTTAAAGAACTAGGGGTCAAGTAATTATGTTTTTAAATTTTTTAATTTAAGACAGTATCTTACCTTCTTTGCTGTAGCTGCAAAGCAATGCATTTAAAATGTCTTTTATTTCTTTAAGGCTGATAAAGAATTTGTATGGTCTTTGTGGAAACGCCTCCAGGTGACAAATCCAGATGTCACACAAGCAGTCAGTTTGGTTGTGGAAAGGTGAGTTACTAAGTTATTTTTCTATTGGTATTTAGTTTATCGAATTTGTTTCTTTTCATTATTAAAATTAACACCCAGCGTTAATCTCCTGAAGAGATTCATTTGATTTCCAAAGGAAAGTTGAGCATGATATTATAATTATTTGTCTTATTTAAAGGTGTGTCAATTTGCTAAGTACAGCTAAGCCTTATCTTCTGCTCATATTCTGACATATTTGGGAAGTTTGCAGGTAAGAGATATAATTATGACCTACACACTGTATGTGTGTGTGTGTGTGTGTGTGTGTGTGTATGTGCATGCGTGTTTTGAGCTTTTTCTGCTCAACTTTAAAAATTGGAGAAGTTCCTGTTGTTTGACTTCAGAGACTGCCCCTTTAGGTACCTTCCTAGACATGATCTTTCCTACACATGGCTCAGTTTTTTTCCCCTAAAATAATTGGAGTGTGTACTTGAGAGCCTGAGATGACCTTGCCGGAATAGAGTAAGTGTTCTGGAATAGGTTGAGAGATTTCACTCAGCACTCTGTATTACTCTGTAGGGGATGCCCAGTCATTTAACTATGGATTATTGGGCCTCTCCTTGGTCATTAGAAACACTGGAGTGATGCTGGGTACTCTTTATCAAACATTTGTTATACAGTAGTCCCATGATACTTACATAGCAATTAAAACACTTGCTTTCCTATTAAATGGATTTCATTACATTTTGTAAATGAGAAGCTAAGCATATGGTTGCCTTTTCCTTTTTCTTTATTGGAATTATGATTATATAATCTGAATATCATTTTATGATAACTTGAACTATATTCACCTTTGGAGTTTCTAGCCCTGGGATCATTCTAACATTGTCTGGAATTTGACTTTGAAAAATCTGTGATACATGCCTATGTCTAACTTTAGCATTCTTGATTATTGTGAACTTTTAAAATAGTTTCTTTTCATGGTCTTGTATGTCTAATTCACCAATCAGTTTTGCCCTTTTGATGATCAGAATTAAGCCTTTTGTTGAAGTACCCTTGTTAGTTCCTAAATCATTCTTGAAATTAAATGTGATCCCTCTCAGTTTCTCTGTTTCTTAGTAGAATAGACCTTTAGAAGATATATTCTTGGGATTTCTTTTGTCATTTCTGTGATTCTTTCATTATCCTTCTGTCCTTTTATTTGTATATATATTTTTACAACTTTCTAAAGCTATTCTTAATTTCCCCTTTATTCTTGGTTGAGACAGAAACAATAAAATAAAATAATTTTAGGCCATTTTTCTCATTCTTTAAGATTTTTATTTTTCGCATTTTATATATAATATATGGTCACATAATTTATAAATAAATATACATATATGTTTTGGGGTGAGTACTCAGAAGCCTTTTGCTCATAACATAGGTAATGGGAAATTTTGGAGGTTATTGCTTTACAGCCATGATCTTCAAAACTTTATATTTTGAGAATTTATTAAAATGCAGATGTTCAAGCTGGATTTAGCAAAGTTAGAGGAACCAGAGATCAAATGGCCAACATCCGCTGGATCATGGAAAAAATCAAGAGCGTTCCCGGAAAACATATACTTCTGCTTTATTGACTACGCCAAAGCCTTTGACTATGTAGATCACAACAAACTGTGGAAAGTTCTTTAAGAGATGAGAATACCAAACCACCTTACCTGGCTCCTGAGAAATCTGTATGCAGGTCAAGAAGCGACACTTAGAACTAGACATGAAACAGGAGATTGGTTCCAAATCAGGAAAGGAGTACGTCAAGGTTGTATATTGTCACCGTGCTTATTTAACTTATATACAGAGTACATCATGTGAAATGCTGGGCTGGATGCAGCACCAGCTGGAATATAGATTGCCGGGAGAAATATCAATAACCTCAGATATGCAGATGACACCACACTTATGGCAGAAAGCAAAGAAGAACTAAAGAGCCTCTTGATTAAAGTGAAAGAGGTGAGTGAAAAAGTTGGCTTAAAGCTCAACATTCAGAAAACTAAGATCATGGCATCTGGTCCCATCACTTCATGGAGGATGAGATGGTTGGATGGCATCACTGACTCGATGGACATGAGTTTGAATAAGCTCCAGAAGTTGGTGATGGACAGGGAGGCCTGGCATGCTGCAGTTCATGGGGTTGCAAAGAGTCGGACATGACTGACTGACTGAATTGAACTGATTAAAATGCAAGAGGAGACCCAGGAGTCTTTAAGCTTTCCAGGTAATTCTGATGTCCATAGATCATATGAGTAGATACCTTGGAATTCAAATTGACCTTTAAAATTGGAAACCTGTAATTTGCATTTCTAATTTTATAATTACATAAATATTTCTTTCCTTGAGAACTATGTAATATGTTTGGACTTGATATGGGAAATAGTATGATTAAAGAAAGAATATTCTAAGTATCAATGTCAAATAGAATTTTTTTTTAGAGTCCATTAAGTACCCAAATTTTGCTACATTCAAGTCATTTTATATTTGTGCCTTGGTCTTCCTAGACATTTTTTCTCCCTGGTATTCCTAATTGCTTTTCTTTTCTAGTAGTTCTTACCATAAAGAATGTCAGTGTTCAAACATTTAAGTGGTGGACTGAAGACATTCTTCTTTGGGCCCTTTGGTTTATGGTATGAATTTTGGCCAGTTGGTTTTTAAACCTACTCATAGCTGTCATCTAGGATTTCTTTTTATTGTACTCCTGAGCTAGTTCCAGAGTTTCTAGAATCCCACATCTTTTTTCTTTTGTTGGATTATATTTTTGAAGTTTTTTTTTCTCAGGAGGGATGCATAAGTGGTTCATTTTCTGACTCCTTATATGCCCAAAATGTCTTTCTTTTTTACTTATGATGTTTGATCGATACTTTAGCTGAACATAAATTTTAAGTCCATCTAACTTCCCTCAGATTTATTTAAAGTATAGCAGTGGTGTTATCAAGTGTATTTGTGATCCCAGTGCAAGTGAGATTCTTATTTCTTTCTAGGTAGCTTGCTTGAAGCTTTTAGGATTCTCTCTATATATTTTAAAATTTCAGTGTTGTTTATTAATTTGAATCTCTTAAAAATTCAGAATTCTCAGCCTTTGTGGGGTTCTTTCAACATCAAGACTTAAGATTTTATTTTAATTGAAGAAAAATATGATTCTTATATTTTCCTCCTTGTCTGTTCTTTTCTTCACACTCTTAGAGGTTGGACCTTCTGGACTTGGCCTTCTTTTCTATCTTATTTTCCATCTTTTAATTTTATCTCCTGAGTAGTTTTATTATGTTTTATTGTATCAATATTTAGATGTTTTTTAATTTTAGAAGTCAAATTTTTATTTCTAAGGGTTTTCTTATTTGATTTTTACTTTTTCATAAGTCTTCTTTAAAAGAATAACTTTTTAATCTTTCTGATTATAATTTTTAAGTTCTTTTCTGTTTCTGACATAATCTTTATTTCCTGTTGGGTAACTGTTATTCCTTCTTTTTTACTTTAATGCTGATGGTTTCCTTCAAGTGTATGGTTCTTTACTGTCACATTTTTGTGTGAAATTATAAATTGCGTAATGTAGAAATGTTGCTTTTAATGAATTTACTTTGCATTTTTCTATATTTGTTTACCAAAATGTTTCTCCTCTGAATGAGAAGATTGACTGTGGATATTGTGTAAGAGAAGGGAGGGGACTATCAACAGGCTTTCCTGAGGGATGTATCGCAAATGGGCTTCACTATACAGGGTGAAAAATAGACTCATTCCCTTTTCGGATTGTATTGTTTGTCCCCACACCATAGTGGGAATCTTTTGCAGGAACATGGTTCTTTTGAGTAGTCTTGGGCCATTTATTGTAGGCAAATATTGTAGGTAGCTCTTCTGAACATGGATGAATGGGAAGCCCAGATTTTTGATGAATGGTTCTTTAGTTAGTCATCTTGATTCTGTACTTACTAATTGGGTAATTAGAGCCTCTCTGGGCCTCTTCCAGAAAAACTAGCTTCCTCTTCCATTATAGACACTGTGTAGATTTTGATTTTTCTCTTCTGGATTTGGCTCTGTGAGTCCATCCTTCTGTTGGTCAGATATTTGTCCATTTTGGACCCCTCTACTTATTTCCAGGCTAGGAGACTCAAGGCAGTGTGATTTAGGCATGTCAGTGCCATGTGGTTCATTTTTTTCAAGAGGAATATAATTACCATTTTCTTCAAGAGAAGATAGTATTTTTAGAATTATAATATCTTTTATTTTAATATGTCATCTTATTTAACCAGTATTTTACTGTACATTATGGTTACTTTATTTTTAAAAAAATTTTATCATGATCTTTCATGATGAATGGCCTTGTGGATAAAGTTTTATCTACAAGGATAAATGGTGTTAACCAGTGGTGCTACTGACACAGTAGATGAAGGTGGGAAATGCTAAACATCCTGTATTAAATAGGACACTCTTGCTCAATTAAATAACCCTTGGAGATATTGGGTGTTCATTCCGGACCACTGTTGTAAAGTGAATAGTGAAATAAAGTGAGTCACACCAGTTATTTGTTTTCAAGTGTATATAAAAGTTATGTTTATACTATACTGTAGACTGTTAAGTGCACAACAGCATTATATCTAAAAATAATTACATAATTTAAAAATATTGCTAAAAAATGCTCTCATCTGAGCTTTCAGTGAGTTATACACTTTTTGCAGTAGTGACATCAAAGATCACTCACTGATCACAGATCATCGTAACAAATATCATAATAATGAAAAAGTCTGACATATTGTGAGAATTACAAAAATGTGACAGAGAGATGTTCAGTTAGTGTTGTTGGAAAAATGGTGCTGGTATATTTGTTTGATGAAGGGTTTCCACAAACCTTCAATTTGTAAAATGCAGTATCTGGGAAGCACAGTAAATAAAGTTCAATAAAATGAGTTATGCCTGTACTGCGTCAAATGCCCTTGGTCCCCTTTTGGAAAAATGCTTGTCATGTCAGTATTTCTTTTTTTTTTTTTTTTAACCTTTTTGGTACTATATTTTATTCC